TTTCTGGGCTGGGCAATATCATTGGCATTTCTGCCTGGTATGGCTGAAGCAGTTGCAGTTCCAATTGTTCATAGCATTTCAAGTCATCTCTTTGCTAAACTACGGATGATTCTTCTAAGGCAAACATTAGCAGTACAAGGGTTTTTTTTCCTTTTTCTTTTTTCTTTTTTTTTTTCTTCAGTTAGATAAGAATTTGATGAGACCTCTGCTTAAAAGTTGATCAATGCAGTTGTGGATGTTGGACTTGAATTTGATGAGTACTCATCTCCAGCTAGGACACTGCCCATGATTTTGCCTGGACACCCAGTTCTCTCGGGCTACAACGAGGTTTTCATCTTTTAGACCACTATGTCCTAGCTTATTCCTTAGCCATGAAATTGAATTTGTGAACCCTGCCACAGTTATACCATGTGGGTTCACCTTCTCCACTGCCCATTCATGCAACAATCCTTGGATAACTGCATCCTGCCCAGACTCCACTCTCAAACTCAAAAGCCCTGCAACCAGCTGAAAAAAATCCCTGAGGCGTGCCTTCTTAGGAGAATGGTCATTTCGTTGCATTCCAAAATCCTTGAACAAGGGTATACCCATTCTCTCAACACAGGCATATCTGGGTAATTAATAAAGGAAACCAACTGGAAAGCAAATGGGTATCTCTTCTGGCGATTAGCTTCTCCGCGCAGGGCCTGCCTCACACAATAAATATCTTCATTCCGCAGCTGCCGTACACAATACACATGTTGAAACAGTGATTAAAATAAAACTGAAAAATTTGATAATAAATAAATAAATAAATAAATAAATAAATAAATAAAACTCAAGATTTTTTCTTGAGAAGCATGAAAGAAATGGAGAGAAGAGCACCTGAATGCTGAACTGAGCTAATGTATTGCTCTGATTTCCCTTCAAACGCCATTTATTGTTATCCATAAATTACGTAATTCCACCAATACAGAAAGGAATCCCCTGATTACTTGACCTTTTAGGAGGGTATTTTGCTTTATCAACACAGTTGCAGCCCGATTAAGTAAAGAGCAGTGCTAGGGGCACTCGCCTCCTGCACTCTCCGGCCAACACTCCCCCTTTCATTGGGCCACGTTATTTTAGTGGAAAAGAGGTTGCACTTCAGAGCTTAAACAACCTTACGTGGCCCAATGAAAGGGGGAGTGCTGGCCGGAGAGTGCAGGAGGCGAGTGCCCCTAGCACTCTAAGTAAAATAGAGCTTCCTTACCCAGGGGCTAAAAATGACAAAAAAAAAAAAAAAGGACATTTTCACCCAGATGTCCTCTACTACCCCAACTAAGACAAGAGGAGTTATATTGGGCTAATTAGTTAAGATGCAAATCTCCAACGACAAATTTAGTCTTGATTCTTGGGAAATATCCTGTACATTTTTTATCAGAAATATGAGAATAATCTAGTTGTATGAAAAGTTCCAAATATTCATTTCTGTAATGGGTTAATTGCGTTGGAGTACATCAATTTGAGATTATTTATTTAAATTTGCGTTACAATGAGTTTGATTAAAGCATAGAAAATGTTTTTTTTTTATTTTTTTTTATTTTTAATTGTTTTA